CACCACTTCTGGAGCTTCGCCGGGGTGACCTCCAACGTGACCGCCTGGTTCATGAGGTGCCGGACGTCGCCGGCCGTCCAGGGGAGGTTCTGGAAGCCGATCTTGCGCATGCCCTCATAGGCCAAGCAGTGTGCCCGGATGGTACGGAACCGGGCATCACCAAAGAGGTGGCCAAACTCCTCCAGCTCCCTGGCCCCCATCACCTGGTGCATGTAGGGGATCTGGTGCCGGAAGGGGATGAAGTATCCCAGGAGGCGTTCCAACCACCTGGCCCTCAAGTGTTGTTCCAACGCTCTCTGAGATGTCGGCAATTGGGTTTTGATCTTCCCTGGTTTCCAATGCCGCCACTTGTTGGCCACTGCCAGGACATCCGGGGCCTCAATCGATCCGGAAAGGATCCACTCTTCGCGGTCCCGGATGGCCTGTTCCATTTCCAGTGGAGAATAGGTGTGCGATTGCCTGGCGCCTGCCGCACGAAACAGAAGTTGTTGCAGGGTCTTAGTAGCGAGCTCCAAATCCGCCTCCTCCAGCGGTTGTGGTTGGGAGCCGAGTATCCTCGCGAGGATCAAGTTGTAGGTGTCCGAGGCCACCAGGACGTGGTTGCCGTCAGGTGCCAGCCCCACGATCCGTGTCCACGGCCGCGGGTCAAAGACCACCGCATCCGGGTTGGCGACCTTGTCCTTTTTGACCCATTCCAGGCAGCACGCCACGAGGATTTCCCCGTCCGACTGCACTGGTGCAAATCCAAGGTCATGCAAAATCAACTGGAGCGCGGTTGGCGCCCCTAGGAAGGTCGTCCCAAACGGGGAAGGGAGGCGGGGCCTCCACATCATCATGATCCACTCGAGCCGGGGGCCTAGTCCCTAGGTGCAAACCCCAACCAAACAACAGGGGGCCCCCCAAAACCCCGGAAAGTCAACCCCGAAACGGAGGAAACGGGGGAAAAAGGGGGACCCAGGGAGCCGCCCCGAAAAGGGAAAACCAAACAAGAGAGGGGAACCAAGGCGCACCCCGGATCAGCCCAAGCCGCGCCAATTTTCCTCGCCTGGTGCAAGTCTGGGCCTGCGCTGTTCCCTGGGGGGGGATATCAGCGCCTTCGGCAGCTGTCCCCCCCCCGGGGTGCGCTGCGCATCCGTTCCGGATGGCCGCGGTCCTGGATGGTGTGCCGGAAGATGGCGTTGTCCCGCATCATCACGCGGCCCCCTTCGCGATGTCATCGATGCGCTTGAGCGCAGCAGCCTCCGGATTCCGCAGAATCAGCTCCCAGATGGCATTGGAGACGTGGCCTGTCTGGGTGGTCTGGCTGAATCTGAACCTGGGCACCTTCTGGTCCACGATGGAGACGTCCCGCAACGGGGCCGAGGGCTCCACCCGGCGGTAGTACTCCAGCCGCTCCTTCACCCAGCGGTTGTAGAGGCCCTCCGGCGGCTCGTCCAACACCAGCTGCAAGATGGCCTTGCCGGCCCGGATCTGGAGGAGGCGGGTGCCCCCTCCCCCGGCACGCCAGTACCCCTTACAATACTTGCACATGTAGCCCCCCCGGGTCTCCCCTTTTGTCTTCGGGATGAGTTCCCACGGGGTGACGGAGCTCAGGACCAGGCCACACTCCATGTGCGCCCAGAAGACATGCTTCATCTCCACCGGATAGTTCTTCTTCCGGTAGTCCTTACCCACCACGCCGTGGACGTTGTCCGCCGTGATGGGGGGGTAAACGATCCCCTCATCGCCCTCGCCTCCCCTGGGGCGGATGTCAGGGCCATCGGCACCTGTCCGGCACCCAGGGGCGGAGGGGTCCAGGCCCATCAGCTTGATCATGTCGTTGGTGTAGCCGAGCTTGCGGTAGATGGAGGGGGCCACTGAGTCGGGGACTGCGCCGACCCACCACTGCTTCGTGTTGCAGCGCCAGTTGACCTTCACCTCCGCCAGGGCCCCCGGGCCTCCAATGCGGTCCATGAGGGCCTTGTACACCTCTGGGAACTGCTGGAGGCTCTCCACCGGGACCGAGATGCGCTCGTCGCATACCGCCCGCAGGATCATCTGCTCCTTGGAGTCCGCCACGTCCTGGACCGGGAGCTGCATCACCTCCGCCGGGGTGTCCGTGAGGAAGGCCCGGGCCGCGAGGACCTTGCCCATGGCCCGGTAGACCAATCGCCACTCCGGTCCTGTCTGCGGAAACGGAAGGCCCTCCTCCTTCAGGAAGCACCGCGCGTCCTCCTTCAGGGTCTCCCAGCCCTCCAGGCGGGTCTGATTCTGGGCCTTGTTTTTCGGGCCCCGCTGCCTAGGGCCCTGCAGCAGTGGCAGAGACTCCCAGACTCCCCAGAGCTGGCGCAGGGTGTAGCTGTGCCCGAACATCCCCAGTAGGCCTGGGAGTGTCCAGGACGAGATCTGGCGCGTCCAGTGGAAGTCCTCATCCGGATCGTGGGGGGCAGCCCAAAAGATGGATCGCAGGTCCCCAGGGTAGGGTCGGTCCCCCGCCTTCGCCTGCTGGTTCAACTCATCAACGGAGTACCTGGCCCAGGGGAGTCCACCCACCTGGTGGTTCCTGGGATGCGTACCCTTCTCCAACGCCTCCGGATTCACCTTGGTGAGGTTTTTCGCCCAATCCGGGACGTGTACCGGGCCCGGTCGTCGGACCCAGCGGCCCGCAAAGATACGGACCTCTCCGACCCGTTTGCTCATCATCCAGCGCAGGACCGAGAGCTGCACCTCCGGGTCCTTGGTGTCCAGGCCCACCGGGGTGGCGGACGGCTTGTCAGGGCCCTCGGCACCTGAGCTCGTCACGCCAGAGCCCGAGGCTGGGGGGATGGTGGGCGGCCTGTCAGGGCCCTCGGCACCTGGGCGCGCCGCACCAGAGCCCCCCGCCTTTGGCATGGGGATCCCTGTCAGGTCCGGCAGATCTGACAGGAGGGCCGCCGGGAAGGGATTCCTACCCAGCGAGATGACCGCCTTGGCCTCAAGGTAGGAGTCCGTGAGGGATGTGAGGTCGTCCATACTGAAGTCCCTCCATGCCGTTGTCGGCTCGAAGACCCCAGTCTCAATGGCGACCCGGACCTCACTAGGCCACGCACTGAAGGGAGGCGCGATGGGCTCGAGCATTCTGGTTTCGAGGGAGCCCTTCGCCTGTCTGGCTTGGTGTTTCGCTTTCGCCTCCTCCGCAGTGGTCTGGGCCTGGAGGAGCTCCGGTGTGGGTCTCCCCCAGTCCGCACCCAGCTTGTCCAGCAGCTTCTCACGGAAGAGGTCCAAGTCCAGGTTCTTCAGGAGCAGGCCTCCATCACCTCCTCCGTCAATGGCCCCCCCTTGAAGTTCGTGGAGGACCGCCGCGGAGCGCTCCACCGCTTCCACCTGGTCCGCCTTCTTGGCCTCCTCCTGGGCGATGGTGGTGGCGTTGAGCCGGGTCTGAATCTTGAAGGCCTTCACCGCAGACGGGTGGAAGGCTCTGCATTCCTGGCCCTCTTCCTTGTCGCCTGGCAATGGGGGCCTCTCCCCCGGTGGGGCCGTCAGAAACTCCTCGTCCAGCTCCATGGGGCAGTTCCTGATCACCGCCCGGACCGAGGAGGGGACGAAGTCCGAGAAGCTGGCCTGGTCCGGGTTCTCGCAGGCCATCGGGTCGGTGGCCAGCTCGCTGACGTCCACCGAGGCACTGAGCTTGAGGTCGCGGGCCCGGTCCGTGTCAGGGCCTTCGGCACCCGCGGACCGGGCCGCCGTCCAGACCGCATTGCCCTGGTCATCCACCGTCAACTGCCAATGCGTGCCCGCCATCTCCAGGGTGGCCGAGTTGGTCGCCGTGTCAATGGGCTCCGTCTTCTTGCCGCACCCCATGCACTTCGTGGCGCCCTTCTTCACCCAGGGCATGGTGCAGCAGGGGCAGATCCAGGATGTGGGCACCTTGCCCAGGGGGCGGTTCTCCAGGCCCCCGTACCCCAAGCCAGCGCGCTTGCCAACCTGCTGTCCCGGGGTGCTGAGCCGGGCCTCATGCTCGTACTTCATCTTGGCGATGTAGAAGGCCTCCACAACGCGCTCCAGGCCCCCCTGCTTGAGTTGGGGGCCCTCAAAGCCTCGCAGGAGCCGCTGGACGTCCTTGGCCTGCAGTCGGCGGAGCCTAGTGGCCGTGGTCGCATCGAAGCAAGGGAAGTCGCCCGCCATCTGGTCGTCGCTGAACTGGTAGAGGCCCTCCGAGACCTTGAGGGCCTTGGTGAACACGCTCCCCCCCGGCGGGGGGGCTGCGGGGTTCTCATCCTCCTCCGAGGACGCCTGCTCCTTGACCTTCGCCATCAGCTCCCGGCGCCTCTGCCACTTGGCGTCTGCCCGGGCATCCAGGCGGGCCTCCTCCAAGCGGGCTGCAGCCGAGGGGGACCTGGGCATCGGCAGCTCCTTCTCGTCCTTCGCCAGGAGCTCCTCCATGGGCACGTCCTCCTCCGGCGGGTTCAGGAGCTCCAGGAACGCCCCTGGGGGGCGTGTCAGGGCCTTCGGCACCTGCGCCACCCCAGGGGCTGCATCTTCCATCGGCTCATCCTCTGCCTTGCGCTTGGCCGGGATAAGGGGGGCCTGCTCCAGCTCATCTGCGCTGGAGAAGAAACGCTCGTCAGGTGCCTGAGGGACCTCAGCAGCCAAAACGGTCCATCCTTCTTCCTCCCTCTTCACGAGGCTCGCCAGGTACTTTGCCATGGAGGCCTTTGCCTTAGCCTTGGCCTCTGTTACCGCGGCACCAGCGTAGGCGGGGGCGTACATGGCTTTGAGAGTAGGGGAAAGAAAGATTTCAAATCACAAGACAAAAGATCAAAAGGTCCACTTGAGCCAAAATGGTGGCCCAAGTGGATACTTATTAAGAGTCAAGACAAGCGACCACCTACGGTTAACGCTTTAGCCCATTAACACCACCAACCCCCCAAAAAGACACATCCATACGGGTGTGTCTCCAAATGAACCCAAAGGGCCACCATGTTGGCAGAAAACCACCCAAGAATTCTCGTGGCGTTCCTTGCACACGCACGCCGAGGGGCCAACTTGCAACCTCCTTTCCGCCATCCGCAGAAAAGGGCTATCCGCCCATGGCGGGAGCTCCGCGTGCAGAACTGGAGCCAAGTTTGCAGCGACGGCGGACGCGAGACCCACTTGTGGCGGGCGTCAAATCCGTGTTTCACGGGATCCCATTTTGGTCGGTGAATTCACCGCCCCTTTTAGAACCTTTTTCGTGGTTGGATTGAATCGGATGTTCACAGGTCGGGGTTTTGACCCGATGTCGCTTTCTGCGTGGAGATTCTGGGCCTGGAGGCAATCATGTGAATTGGTTGCCGATGGGGGATGGGAATATTGGGTGAGCCTAGGGCATTGGGTGGCCGCCCCATGTCCTCCCAAACTAACAGTAGACGACCAATAATGTCGTCAGCCACTCATATGATCACTTGGAATGTTTCTGTGGATTGATGACTGGGGTTTGCTTGCTTTGGAAAGAATCCAGAAAGTCAAACCGGTGCGATAGCTACGGAAGGACCCTCCTGGGTCTTGGGAGTGATCCGGAACGGGACTCCCTTAAAGGAAGCCATAGGGGATGGTTTGACTTGGGGTCATTCCATGTCTCATTCTCTGCTGAGGCCCAGCGGCGGGTTGGCCACTGCAACAGTCCCACCTTCCAGGCGTCGACGGGACGCGAGCACACGCGCAGCACATCCACATCCACGGTGTGAGCCTCCTCACGGGAGCAAGGCTTTTGCGAGCCCCGGCTCAGCACAAGGCCACCCTCTTGGCTGGTGGCCAGGGGTCGAGTTTTCTTGGCCGCATCCCCAGCATCCCTGGGCACTTGGTGTCAGGTCTGCGTGTTGGCCAGAGTTGCTCGGGGTTAATCGACCGCAGCATCACCGGCCTCGCTCGGACCAGGGCTGCCTATTGGCTTTGATTTTGGTTGCAGTTGAGAGTTGCTCGGGGCTGGTTTCGCGTGAGTGTTGGGTTTGCTGAGGTCTTAATGACGGCGGGTCTTGGGTTTGTTTGGGTTCATTTAGCCTCGGAAAGTGCTGATATCCAGGATGCTGTTGGGAGGGTTTAAGGTTGACCTAAATCGAAGCCAATAGGCAGCCCTAGTCCAGCCCGAGCAACTCTGGCCAATACGCAGACCAATTAATCGGGGATGCTGGGGATGCGGACGCCTAGCCAACCAACCAACCAACCAACCAACCAACCAACCAACCAACCAACCAACCAACCAGCCAACCAGGCAACCAGCCAACCAGTCCCCTGGCCGGGGCTAAGCCCCGAGCCGGAGCTGGCTACAAAAAAAAACAACACCGATTCCCGGTAGCGATTCATACCAAAAACGGATAAACAAAAGCGCATGAGTGTGTGTCACAATGGGGGGTCCCAAAGAATGGTGTATTTCGCCTTTGGTTCCATTTAAGACCACCCCAAAACTGGGTGCCCTCAGAAAACGACATGGGTGGTTACAAACATGCGGGACAGCATCGTGGAAGACTTGTTGCAAAACCATTGTGGCCCCCTGTTCTTGAACATAAAGAATCATCCTTCGCATGAAAATCACCACACCCTCACGTCCCACATCCTTCTTCTTTTCGGTGACCCCTTTCGAGTTCAGCTCGGTTCGCTCCATCCCAGACATTTCAGGTATCTCGCCCACTTTCACCCGCCCTTTCGGGCCTCCGGTGGAGGGTGACCGCACTTTTGCTTGAGAGCGCGCCTGAACTTCCAACCCAGGTTCATGGAACCCTTGGCGGGGGGGGGGGGCCTGGATAAGCCCAGGATAAGCCAAGGATAAGCCCTTAAGGTCTTATTGAGGGGTAAACCCCCTCTCCAGTTCGCCCTTCTGGGGATCAGCGGCGAGCAAGGAGCTCGATCGCAAGGAGAATGGAATTCAACGCAGGGTGACTCGTGTCTCTCTCTCTTTCTCTCTCTCTCTCCAAATGAGAACCAACGAGGGGATGTTCCCCTGCAAGTGATCCAGATCCAGCACACCCCTGAATTAAAACAAATCCCGCGAGCCCCTGTATCTTTACTCTTCTCGGGTCTTAAGCTTTCTTCTTTCTTTTTAAGCTTCCCCCCCCCCCCCCATTTTTTATGCTCGAAGTCTTCATTTCTCCCTCCGCCCCCCCCGATCCTTCGCCCACGCGCGCGGCGCCGTGCTCTGCGCCGCACCGAGGAGCGCGGCGCGGGTCACCGCGTCGGGGCGAAGCCGGCGGCGCGACATGGCCGCCAGCAGCGCGCAGCACCTGAGTCATAATCAAAACCCACATGGAATAAATAGACGAGCTTCCCTACGTGGAATAAATCCCATCTAAACCAGCGCCATCTATGTTTAATTAAACTATCCTCAACAAAAAAACCTTGATCACATGAGCCATAATCAAAACCCGTTATTAAACTGGTCGTAACTAATCCCAGAACCATGCTTCAGGAATTCAGAAGCCGGATCTCCGCAGCTATTTCTGGCACGGGGATCGTCCCTTACTAACCTTCATCTACCCGAATCGGTTTTGAGCACGTGACTCACCTGAGGTAGGGGAAACCAGCCAGGGACCCAGGAAACGGCTTGGACTTTTGCGCTCTTTTTAGAGGGGTTGATTCCTTTTCCAGTCTTTTCAACCATGAAAATCCCCAAAAAACGGATCCGTTTTCCCTGGGTTTCCGGAGGTTCTCTGGACAGAATGGTCCCTGGAAAGAATGGGGAAGGTACCCCTAGATTTTGTTGGATTTCACCTAGGCTTCTTCCTGTTGGTTCCTTTTTCGTACCCTTGTAATACTCTGCAGGGGGTGGATCCACAGATTCGCCACACCCGTGTTTTCTAGATCTCGAGAGCGTCTATTGCTCTGTGCCTGCAGTGGATGTACCACCTGTACCATGGTGGCTCGTAGACGAGGAAAAAAGAAAGGGACGGGATCGGATGCCAATAAAACCACGGTCGGGTCAAAAAAAAGGTGTGACACTAAGTTACATTTAGATTGGATCCTCGCCGTTCTTTGAAGCCTAGGATTCTTTGGGTCGTTCAAAATTAGACCCCAAGTCCGTTCTCTTCCGCAAGGGGTCTACGAAAAGCGACCCCTGCATCTGCCTGATACTTTTTTTGCCCCGATGGGTTTGAGTCTGGTCCAATTGTGTGAACCTTATGCAAAATGACCAGCGATTCCAGCTAGAGGATGGGTTGACGCAACCAAGAATCAAAATAAGCTTCGTCTAGGGGGGCTTGGTCCACATGTCAATCTGAAAGCCATCTTTTCTTGGGTATGAACCTTAATTGGGATCCTTTGGTGGATGCCTTTTTGGTTGTGAAAGGATGGGCCTACCACTGCATGCAAAGCAGTTTTTAGCCGGAAGAAAGGAATCTTTACTTGGAACTAAAGAAACTCAATAATCACTTCTCCAGTGTGGTGTGTGGTTTTGCGGGTACCCGTTTAGGTTGGCAAAAGGAGAAATCAACAGGAAAGCCATCATTTTGGAAGCGTCATCTTTTGATGGTACCCGTTTGGGTGTTGGTTGAAAAGGACCGCGGATCCCCCCGTTTAGAGACAAACCCGTTTGAAGTCTTGCCGACCGCTGCCAATTGGCTCCCAAAATTTTGGGGACCCGAAAGATGTATTCCATTCATTTCCATTTTTGAACTATCCCTGGGAAATTTCCCTGATATTTCACCCCCTTAAACACCACCCCTGCAATATTGGGACTCACAAAGGTTGCCTCATTGCAAAGGGTCTAACCTTTTGTAGGTTTACGGGCCAAGACACAGATATTTACAGAAAGATTAAAATCCCTCATAGAAACCAGCAGGACCTACAGCAAATTCCCAACAAAATGCCCACCACACACCCAAAACAACACCTGCACTTCTCGGAGCCTCCAGAAACCACCGAACCTCAGAGCCAAAGCTTTCAGCGGTTGAACGGAAAAACCAGCAGGAACCACAAAACCAGATCCCCCAAAAACCTCCCCTCCCCCCCGGCCCCCCCCCCAAAAAAAAAGAAGAAAGAAGATATACAAGAAGTAAAACAGCTGCATCCTTTCTTCCCCTCTCTAAACCCCTGAAGGTCCCCCCGAACGGAAAAACTGCAAAAAACAAGCTGGGCGCAAGAGATGACTTGGGTATGGGGCAAAATGAAACCATGGACCGCAGGTTTTAGTCCTTGGTTCCACGAACCATGTCTCTCAACAAGTCTCTGAACAAATGCCGTGAGAGACTGTTTCACCCAGGACGAACATGGATTGGGGTCGGGGATCTCGCTTGCGAATGTGTGGAGTCCTTGGTTCCACGAACCAGGGCAAGCCATTCTGGGGTTACCCTATGTTTTGACGCAGAGCCACCTAGTGACAAACTGGGGGTGTATTCATCCGTCACGATTGAGCGATTGAGCCCCGGATCTTGTCGTTACTCCACGCCCTATGTTTGACAACCACCGCCATTTGGCCATGGGTCAAAACCCAAATCATACCCCCAGTGAACATCCCAATCCCCCACTATAAAAAGGTTCTAAAATGGGTGGTGAATTCAATTACCAACCAAAACAGGATCCCGTTTAACGGTTTTGACAACCGCCACAAAAGCTTGAAAGCCAGCTTATACCTTCTGCGCGGATGTTCTTCACCTCACCTACCCCTTCCTTGCCCCAAGATGGTACCGTTGGTTTTGACTTGGTCCTCCAGTAGAGAGCTTAGAACAAGTTGGTACCATTTTTTTTCTGTAGTCTATTCTAGTAGGAAAAAAACCCTCCCAACCAAAAAAGAAACGGTAAAAGTTGGCAGAACTGGGGGACCTGCCTCCAACCCCCTTCAAAATGAATCCCCACTAAAAATCGCTAAACTAGGCTCTAAAACGGGTGGTAAATTCACCTACCACCCAAGATGGGATCCCGTTTAACGGCCTCGCCCGCCGCCATTTCAGGCGGCGGCGCTGCTTCCATGCGGAGCCCCGCGCCGCGGCGGCCAGGGCGGCGTTGCAGCCGGCCAGAGCTCCGCCCTCGGCGAGGCGCCTGGGAGTCGGAGTCGTCGGAGGCGGAGGCTCGGGTCGGAGGCGGAGGGGTCGGAGGGTCGGAGGGGACTGGGCCGCGAACATGGGGTTCTGTATTGCCCCCCTCCCCCCCAAAAAAAAGAAAGGTATAACACCGCAACATTCCCCCCCCCAAAAAAAAGAAAAGAAGAAGAAGGTATAACACCGCAACAAAGCACTTGGCTTCAAGCTTCAATGGTTTACTGTGCAAAATGACTGACAGTTTCGCCAAAACACAAGGGGTCCTCCAAAAGGAGAGTCCTGTACGAATGGTGGGGGGTGGGGGTTTGGGGGTCCCTGCCAAAAAGGAGCATGATCATAACAAAAAGCCCAAAATAAGAAAATCGCCCTAAACCAAAACCCACAAATGCAATATCAACAACTTCAGGACCTCATGGAACCCCCCCTCACAAAAAAAACAAACAAACGATGTTTGAGGGACCCTTTCAGGGCCTTTTGTGTGGGGAACCAAAAGGAAACCATTGCCATGTTGGCCCCCTACTTTTGAGACGAACCAAACATTCACGCTTTCTGTGATACAAATTTGGGACATTCCCACTACTTCAAGTCACTGTGATGAGACCGAAAAAGTCAGCTTCAACATTCAGCAGGAATGCGTTGCAATTCCGCTGGAAGCTGAGGATCGGGTCAAGACTTGCAGGCAAAGGACAATTTCCATATCACAGCAAGAAACAATGTCCATGCCAACCCACTCGAAGAGCAAATTCTACAAATCCGAAACCGGAAGTAAGGAAAATCCCCTAAGGACCTTCATACCAGGGCTACTGAGTCTTCCAGGATCGTGCCCTTTGACCAACTTTTTTGGGGGAGGGTTCCCCTACTAAAATAGGCGTCCTGAAAAAAGTTGGTACCAACTTCTTCGAACCTCTCTACTGGAGGACCTAGTATGTCTTTCGCCTTTGATTCGATCGCGCCCACGCAGTGGGAGTTTTGGATTTTGGATCTGGTAGCAGTCGCTGGCCCTTTGGAACCTGCAAAATGATCCAAATGATGTTTAGAATAGAAGGAGAACAGGGGTGCCTTTGGGACCGAAACCTCGCGCCAACTTACAAGTCGTTTTCTGCCGATGCAAGCTGACAAGAATACAAGGAAACTTGTTCGACTGGGCAGGCTCCTGCAACTTCCCTGTCAACAAGGGGGTGTGCCCCATAGATGGCCAACAAAATGCCAACGTTTGCCTTGGGGTGCCCTTTCAACCCCAAAGGAACTAATCCTATTGAAACTCTTGTATAGTTGCGAGGGACATAGGGACCGTCAGCTAAACAAATCCGACATCAAGTAGCCAGGGCATTTCTGCTAAGCACCTCAGCTTCCCTTTTCCCGTCTATTGATCGGAGAAGGTGGGTGGATGAGAAGAGAGCAAGGGATGGAGGGAGTGTGAGAGTCGTTCATTCTCTATCTCTCCCATACGCTCTCCTATCTATCTCTAAGACTCCACGCCGTAGGATGTCAGCCCCTGACCAGAAAACCAGGCAAGCCGTGTCTTTCCACCAAATTAATATCCCAACCGAGAAAAATGGCAGGAACCCAGAAATATAATAATATACCAACTGCAAATCAAGACATGGCCGGGTAGCTTGAAAAACTGAAACCTCTTCCATCAGGGCTGTGGGGAATGACCACGGGATTCCCAAGAGTATCACAGAAGTGGTTGGAGGAACCCCTTGTGATCCCACAACCCTGTCTATTGTGGATGGACAACATCCTGCACCACCGTTCAGAAACCCTGGTTTCCGAATGATTCCCCAACGTAAATCCCTGGAATGAATGATTCCCCAACGTAAATACCCACAAACCTCATGGCTTCAACCATTTCCAAAGTGGTGCGAAATCTTACCCCTTAAAACTCCAAGCCCTGGGGAAGTTAATCTTTTACAGACATATAGCCCATGTTACCCAAAAAGTTGAAAAGTTGTGTTTTTAAGAGGTAAGAAAAGGATTTCGCAACTCCATCCACAGTAGGCTCAGCCTATCAGTAGCTCAGGGCACAGCGCCAGCTCCCAGGCGAGGCCCTTCTCACAGGCCGAGACCCCGGCGTTGCCTCGTGGCTGGGGGTTGGGAGTGGCTGGTTGGTGGTTGGTGGTTGGGGGGGGTCAAGGGTCCGGAAAGTGGTGCCATGGATACTCGGAGTGTATTTTGCAGACTCCAACCCTAAAAAAAACCCAACGCCTGAAAGAAGGTCGCAAAATAGACCCTGGCGGGGGGGGGGGGGTGTGGTGCCAGGCCCCCAATCGGTGGGATCTTTAAAGGTGGTTTGTCCCTGTTTTTGATGTGATCTATCCCAACGGCTGCGAAGTGGATTTGGAACATCCACAAGGCCCGAAACCGGTCCCTTTCCGCATGGAGGGTGGCGCAGGAGCCTCATGTTGGGCAGCACAAAAACGGGGCTTCCCTCCCTCAAAAATCAACCACAAGAGATCAGGAGAGCAACAAAAAATGGGCGCAAACAACTTGTTTGAGCTCTGACTCACCTTTCTTGGTAACCAGGGCGGGGACCTCCACAACTGGCTCCCCGACCTCTAACTTACCTTTCTCGCAAAGGGGCCCACCACCAAAAAATCCGGGGGACCTACTGAGGACGAAATCCTGCACTACCTAAGAACCCCTGGTTTCTGCTGATTCCCCAAGGGAAATACCAACAAACGTTATGGTTTGTTTTCCCCCCCATGGTTTCGAAGTGGTGCGAAATGGATTTCGCAACCATCCACAGTATGAGCCACCCCGGAATCTCCGGACTCGTTGCACAGGATGGCATCCGCCGGCCCAGAAAAGAGCAGCAGCGCACGCTGCCACTCGCATGCCTTCTCCTGCCCGGGGCCCCGCAAAATCGGGAGAGGAGGGGGGGGCCCAACATATATCTATACATAAATATACACCCTCCAAAAACACGCACCCCTTCACAGAATTCACTGGTGTTTGTGGGGGCGGGTAGCATACATATACTTGCATTACATTACATTACATTACGTTGCATTACATTGCATTGCACATTACATTACACCACATTACACTACATTGCATTGCATTGCATTGCATTGCATTGTATTGCATTCCACTACACTACATAACATTACACTACATTACAATACATTACATTACATGACATATATATATATATATATATTGCTCATGGTGGATTCGCTTCAGACATTGCTGATTGTTCCACGGATGCGAGTAAGGCTGTGCTTTCTGGAGCAGCCTCATGATGGTGGCGCTCCAAAGCGAAAATGGGTATCGGAGTGACTGACAATAGGGGGCCTCTGAAAAATACCACGTTTGGGGGTCCCCTATTTTGACACAGGCCCAAGCATTTTTGCCTCTAGGTTCGATTGTGGCCAAATCCATTCTCGAGGAACATTCCCCATTCGGGCATGCCAACTTTTGCGGATGGCACTCTTCAGCACTTGTAGCGTTCAACGATTTAAAAAAGCATAAGCGCCGTGGATCAACAACTTGCCTTTCGGATGCCCTCCTGCTCCAAGAGCCACAACTCTCAGCTGGGTCCCGGGCAAAGGCGCTGACGGCTGCACTGCGCATCACCAGGTTCACCTCGGATGGAAATCGCGCGCGAGACCCCAGGTTGTTTTGCAAAGGTTCAACATCCAGGTCCTTCGGGGTTGGCCCATGACTAAAATATGCTCCCGAAACCCGGCGGGAAACTTGGCTGTGCGTCCAAGCGGATGTTTTTCACAAAAAAAAAAACAGTCTTCTCGGCAGTCCTCAAAACTGAGCGGTACTTAAAAAAAAAAAGCTCGACACAGAAACAAAAACGTTTCCAGAACTTTTCAGAGGCGGACCTCCGCACGCCCGAAACGGCAAGGGACTTCTCCCTTACTAAGCTTCTCCTTTACCTGTTGGTGCTGATCACACAGTTGGAACCATACCTAGAGGTGTGGTTCTTCCCAGGGTTTCCCACTCTTTTGCTCCAATTTTTGGAAGTCTCCGGTCGATCATGGGCCCAACTCCTCCTCGGACTTCGGATTCTCAAACCCGAACAAATAGGGAAACGTCCCCGCAAATAATTGAACCTCCAAACTGGCGCACCAAAAAAGACACACCGCATCCGCCGCGCGTTCTTTTCCCTCCATTTGCTTAAGCCCCCTGGAAAAATATATATACATATATATATATATATTTCCAGTAGTGATAGATTCCCTTTAAAACCAACAGGGGATTTAAAAAAAAAAAAAACATTTAAGCCAATGGAAGTCTCTTGTGACGCAAACGCCAGAGCCCAACTCAACACCGACCTTGGGAACCGGACCGGGATCTGCCAGCGCCGAGCATCCGCCAGCAAGCACAGCACCTGCTCCCAGCGCCCGCCTGGCGCGGCTGAAACATGCGGAGGGCACGATGCGGAGGGCAGGATGCGGAGGGCACGTCAAATGGATGGATATGGATAGGGATATGGATAGGGATATGGATGTGGATGTGGATGTGGATATGGATGTGGATATGTATGGATGTACGTACGTATGGATGGACGGACGGACGCACAGACGCGTGGATGTGTGTGTGTGTGTGCGCGCGTCAACATGTGCGAGTACCCTTTTTCCCCCCCCCCCCGCGACCTGGCCTGCTCCCTCCAGCGCGCTGATGGCACCACACAGCAGCACCTCGCGATGGCAAAAACTCGGCTCGCGCCTGGGAGCTTGGAGGGGGGTCTCACCAATCAGGATTGTGGGTTCTCTTTTCTCGGTTGCGAACTCTGCGAAGCCCTGCTAAAAGTGAGTATAGCTTTTAGTGTAAAAATAATAATAACGGAAAACCCAATAGTTGGCAAGAATGTTAAAGTCCTAACATCCCTTGGCCAAATGCAACAAGGGAAAAGTGGCGACCCGTTCCTTCGATATGGTCGGCAACCAGTGCCGCAAATCAAGCGATGGGCCGGAGGAAAAGCAGTGCTTTTTAGGCTTGTTGTCCGTTCATCATAACTATTCTTGATGGAAAAATCGCTGTCCTGGTTGACTCACTCGATCCCTGAGTTCCGGAAACGGACTAAGTCACGTTTGGGGCTGGGTTGCCATTTCAATGGCGAACAAAACAGGTTGGCCTTCATTTTGTGCCAATCCATTCAGGAAGAGAGGGAACCATCCCTGAGGTGGAGGCGGGTTGAAGAGAAAAAAGGCGATGGGTGGGCTCTTGCGACTTCATTTTTTTGCCCTCTTGGCTTTCCCTAGAGTTTTCTTTGACCAAAGAGTCATCCCTCTCTGATTGGCGGTTTGGATTGGCGGGAACTGGGGAGTTGAAATCCAATGCCTTTTGAAGTCCCAAACGACGTCCCAACCACCTCTTTTTTGGCGTACTCAGGTCTGCAGGACTCCTTGAGTCGGTTTTGGCGGCCAAGTTGGGATCAGGGTAGCCAAGCATTGCCCTTGAGCGGCTTCTCCGTAGAATGTGCGATGGACTTCCTATTGGCCGAAACCTATCGAAGAGGAAACCCAATAGAGATTGTGGATTTTTGGGAAAACCCTGGCAAGCCCCAGTCGGGAGGGTATCTTTTTGAGGGGGGTCCATTTTTAGTGGGGCATTCCTTTCTTCCAGGGGGACGCCTCCGCCTCTGACTGATAACCGGGGACCGGGGAGGGGGGGTGAATCGGGTCAACGTCAACATCAAGCTTGCCGTACCGGCAGACAGTTGGGTGAAAGTTGGCATTCCATTTCAACCGACCCCCCGCTGTGTCAGGCAGACCCAGTGCAACACATCTGATTTCAGATGGAAGCCTTGCCAACAAAAGGGTGTTTCTCAAAATCGGGAACCCAAAAAAAACACGGCCTGTGTGCTATGGGTCGTCCTTCAAAATCCGCTGTTTTGAGACCCCCCCAAAAAAAAACAACTGTACCAGGTCCACGGTTTTGAACCCCCCGCCAAGAAAAAGAAAGAAATATAAAAATGTACCAACCAACCCTACCCCCTTTTAAAAAAAAGGAGACTAGCAGGTCGTTCACCAAGGAAATGGGAACGCCCCCAACTTGAACCGCTCAGCTAGGGCTATTTTTGTCCGAGCAACATATCGCGCTACCAACCCTGCCCGACACCAAGCAGCAGGTCTCGGTTTCTTTCTGCTCCCTGCTAAAAGTTCTCTTTTAGTCGTTTAATGAAAAACCCATTAGTTGGCAAAAAGTTAAAGTCCTAACATCCCTTGGCAAAATGCAACGAAGATATTATCCGAGTCACATCGCGCTAACCCTGCGAGAGGGAAAGCAGCAGCCCGTTCCAAAAGGAAAACCTCGGCGGGTCGTGGCTCCTCGCCTGGTCCGGGATGTTGCTGTCCGCTAGCAGCTGCAGCGCTCGCTGCCACTGGGCACCCCGCTCCATGCTGGTCATGGCCTAAGGAGGGGAGAAACCGCCTCTAGGGAAACCCCAAAACAGCTGGTCCTGCCAAATAGAACCAAGGACTCAAACCTGCGGTCCGAAATTCCTGGTGACTCAGTTTGACCCATAGGTGTTTTGGGTTTGTGTTTTCCGTGGTCAAATACTTGTGTTCTGATGTGCTGTATTCTCACTTAGGTTGGCAGGATTCCGGGGCGAGCATGAACATGCCGACGCCTTCCTTGGTGACACGGGGAACCCATAACATGGTGGGTCAAATCCTTCAGCTTCCCCTTGAAATTTGTATTTCCGTGAGAAAGAAAAAGACCCCAACAACTAACAAGCACGTCGACTTGCAAAAAAAAAAGAATCCACCCCACGTGAAGCTTCTGCGGTCCGGGGCGATGCTGTAGGTGGCCAGGTTGGGCACCATGCACGCGGCTTTCATGGCGGACAGGATCGCCTCAGAGACCGCGACCCCGAGCAGAAGCCTTTCAGTGATACCAAGTGGATGGTTGCGCAATCCATTTCGCAGCACCCAAGCCATGGGTTTCCAGAACCTTTGTGGGTGTTTTCTCGTTGGGGAAGTGAGTCATTCCAGGCTTTCCGAAAGGTGCGAAATGGATTGCGGCGTCCATCCACACCAAAGTGTCAGCTTGCCACTTGGTGGTTTGGAGCCCGTTTCTCGGTGGCTTGGTGATGAAACGGGGCAGTTCCCCATTTACCCTCGGAAGAAGAAACAAAAACAGAAACGGGTTCCAATCCGAATCCAAACCACCAATTAAGGGGTACCTGAAAGTGGGCCGTCCCTATGACTTTGCAAAGAAAAACAGCTTGGTATCAAAGAAGAACACGTGACCCAGGAAACATAACAAACAAAAACAGCAAGCATGTAATCTGCCAGGGGGGTCGCTTTAAGCCTAGGGTTTGCCATTTACTCCCCCACAAAACATGGAACCCAAAAAGGGGGGTTCCCCAAAAGGAGTTTCCTCTAAGCATGATTGGTGTTTTGGGGTTCCATGTTAATCTGTAGGAGGGCAAGACCCCCTTCTTGGGGAAATGATGGAGCCCCGGAAGCGTGCAGAAGCGCCATTTCGCTTGAGTTCCCCAATACGGGTGGCAAAGGCAAAACGTCACGCAAGCCTCCAGAGGAGCAAAATACAGCAAGAAAAGGACACCTACTTCCCAAAAACCTTTCGCAGGAACCGACCAAAAGTTCAGTCCATTCGCATTCTGGCCACCGCGAAGAGAGACCCCCTAAAACTAAGGGCTGGGTCGACTCACCACGTGCCGTGTGCCGTAAACGCCTGATTCCATGGCTTGAAAAGCCTACCGCCCCTCCTTCCGTGAGCCCAATTCAAACCGGGCCTTCCAAGACCAAATCAGAGGCCCAGCAAGTTCACACCAACGGGCACGAACGGGCACGAATCAAATGGTCCGCGCCCTCAACCTTTGCTCCATCCGGCTTCGCAGAGAACGAGACCTGAAAAAATGCAACTGATCTCTTCCTCCCCAGGGTGAGAGACCGGGGGTGCTGGAACTGCGACCTGGGCTGACCCCCAAACACCTCCAAACCAAGGGGAACCTGCTTCAGAGGAACCCGGATAAAGGGACTGCCAGAACGTGCGGAGGTAGATTCGCTTTGGGGCAAGTGAGAAACTCCAAACCCAGGTGGGAAAAAACACACACACAGACTCCGGACAAGCCGCGAAGCCACCAAATACCTTGGACCCCCCCAAACCCCGCAACCCCCCAGATTCTCGGGATCCCCGGGAAGGAAAATTCCCGCGCGAGGCGCCAAGGACTGGCGCCAAACCGCCTTGGAGGCGCAGGCCTGCAGCGCCGCGCCGCAGCAGGGCTGGCTATGCAGCCGCCGCCTGGATGGGAAGTCCGTGCCTAAGCCGTGAGGATCCACACGCATAAAAGGAGGTCTTGTGGGTAGTTGCAGGGAGGTAATGTACCACTTATTTTAAGGGAGAAAACGCTGGCTTTCAAGCTTATACTGGTGGTAGACTGGTGGCACATGGGTCTGTCGTTTCCAGACCCCTGCCTTTTTCGGGGTTGGCTTGAAGGGAGAACCAAGACAAAACCACCCTGTGGTACTTTGGAGGCTCCCCAATGTTGAGACAAAACCATATGGGCCAATTCTTGGAGTTGGTACCCCTGGTTTGCCTAGTATACTTTAAACGGAAACCAAAGAGAGCACCACCATTTTGGGTTTGAATCTGAACTGGGGATTCTCTGGGCGGACGTGCTCTGAATCAAAATTCGTAGCCAAGAGAGTTTACTATATGATCATTTGCCGGAACCAATCCAACATTTGAAGTCTTGAGCCCCCAAAATGGGTGGTGTCCTGTTGGTTCCCAATAAAGCCAAGCCCAAAAATGGGGAGGGTCCCTCAACAAACCACACACCTATATGGTTCAGTGTATTGACTTGGTGGCATATGTAAATATTTATGACCTAATTCAACTGGACTGCTCAAAACAGTGTTGGCCAATCCTAATCATGACCCTTATTGGAAAGACCGCCACCAATGGGGACCACCCAAGGTAAGCATTCAGGATTGCTTTTGAACAGCAGCTAAGGAATTTTGAGACACCCGAAGCCTCCTCCCATCACTTTAGGAAACCGCCTGACACCAGACACGCAAAAAGTCCCATCACTTCTTGGTTGCTGTTGACCCCCCTGCAAAAAGCTCATTTCGTGGAAAACCGCTTGATTTCCCACAAAGTTAAAGTCTAAAGATCCAACCCAACAGCAGTCAAGACTTCACCCGAAGCCTCGGTGCAACCCTCGCGCCTCTCGGCCGCTGCCAGCAGCTGCAGGGCCTGCGAAGACCAAATGGACGAGAAAACCACGGCGTTTTCGGAGAAGGACATGGCGTCCACTCTTTGGTCCTGTCTTTCGGATCGCTCCGCACCACCTCACCTGCGGCTTGGTGTGCGACACCCAGAAGTTGATGAACCTCCATTAATCTACGAAGTGGATGAATCTGGGGGTTTGCAGTGGATCCAAGAGATCACAGAAAGCATGGGGCAAAAAACGCCACGGCTTTGCAAAAAAACCTCGGAGACTGAAGAGGGCGTTCAGGCAGTTCCACTCCAGTTGCTCAAGACTGTGTTCTCCAGTCATACACCCCACACGTTATCTTTCTGTTGTGGTAAGGACAGCGTATAATGACTGGTGTTCTCCAGTCATACACCCCACCAGGTGTCGAAACCACACAAGCACCGCAACCAACAGCGCCCACGTGTTTTTGGGTACCCAAGGGTTCCGTCAAGCGAACCAAGAGCCACGGTCGCCGTCAAGTGACCCGACTTCCGCCCAACCCAAAAGCGGCCGCTCCTTCGCCCCTTCCTGGCAGAATCTGGAACCCATTGGCATGGATCGTCACAGCTCAATAGGGCCACTCAGCACCTCTCAGATGAGTGGCTTCTCTACGAATTCCGGGAAGGGGTCCATGAATAGAGCGGGATCCGCTCAAGGGTTTCAAGCCTGGATCAAGATTCCTTTGACTTGACCCGGCTCGGGTCGCACATGTCTGCGTCAAACCTTACAAGCATGGCGACTGAACCGTCCCAGCCAAAAGCCCAAGTGACAATCTATGCACAAGGCAAAAACCTTGGGTTTCAGCATGACAGAATGAAGAATCCATCTTTGGGTGAAATCTGTGCCGTGTCTCAGTTATATCCACTTGCATACAACAAAACTACTCCAAGCGAAAGGCTTCCCAAGAAGCCTTTCGCCCACTTTGCATATCCAGCTGCTCCGATTTGGATGTGGTGTTTGGTGTGACCGAATCGACCTTTTGGCGCAACAAAACGGCCGTCTGGTATGACATGTACAAAAGTTGGTAGACCTAGAGAAAGCCAAATGGGCACCTTGGAGCTTTGGGTTCCGGACAAAGCCTCTGCCCTAAGAAGGCACACGTGGCTGACAAAGAATCACTGCTTGAGAAGCACAACGGAAAATGAGGATGCTCATACTTGGCATCAAGTTGCCAAACATGATTCGAACAAGCGGAGCCAGTGATGGTGGCCCTTTACCAAGCATCGCTATTCCCTCTCCCTTCTGATGTGTCCTAAGCGTTATGGACATTGGCTTGCTCCATTTGCTGCAGCTCAATGAGACTACCTCACCTCGGTTGCTTTCTGCTCCCTGCTTAAAGTGACTAACTTTTAGTGGTTTAATGGAAATCCCATTGGTTGGCGAAAACTTAAAGTCCTAACATCCAAGCAAAATGCACCAAAGTTACAATAGCTGAGCTTTGCTTGAGACGATGAACGCGCCATGTATGAGGTCCGTGACTTTGGGGGGGGGGGTCTCTTCAAATCGACCTGAAAATGTTAACTCACCCATGTGAGCGCCCTTTTCACCCACTGACTCTTGGCACTAAGATGGTAAAGGTTGAGGTCGTCTCATGTTGCAGATTCCCTCTCCGCATCCCTTTACATCCCACCTTCACTTGCTAGTGCTCAGTAGGGCATGAGGGAATGAACCCAGAGGCCCCCGTAAAGGAAACCACAAGAAGATTGTTCTTCGGGGTCATATTGTCATTTGGCCATGGGCCTAAATCCCGTACTTCCAGTGAACATCCCAATCCCCATTAAAATAGGCTCTAAAATGGGTGGTGAATTCACCTACCCCAAAATGGGATCCCATTGGTTTTGACAACCACTGCCATGCCCATGGCACCAGCAAGCGTCAACGAGGTTTACCCCGCGCCTGTTGCCATCGGACGGCGCTGATGGTCACCCCAAAGGCTGCGGCATCCGCAAGGCCTCGGGCGTCCACCTGCCGGGCTTCCGACTTGCTGCGGTAGGCAGGAGGCCATCCTGGGAACATACTGTGGATGGTTGCGAAATCCTTTTCGGAGGACATGAAAACCATTGTGTGTTGGTATTTACAAGGTAATCATCAGAAACCAGGGATTCTCAGGTGGTGCCTAAGAGGATTTTATCCATCCACAGTATCAAATGCAAAAGTGGAGGCCATGGCACTTAGTCAGAAGAGGCTTCAAACTGTGCTTTTTGGGGTTCAGGGCAATGAGATTTGGAATGAACCCAGGCATCCCCTTCAAGGAAACCACCAGTTGGAGGATTTATAA